AGCCACATAAAAATTCAAGAGAGGAAAAGAGTATTCTAGCCTAAAGAGGCAGCAGGAGCTTGGAGTCTATTATTTTTCCTATCATCACTTGGAAATGGCTATTTCCATTTCAGTCTGTTTCTCAGCTCTCTCGAGCAGTTAATGATTTGTGAAATACCTAAATGCACCAGAGCAGCTACTACCTTAAATAATTGCTTTGTATGCTTTGTAATACAAATAAACCACACTACCCGAAAAGCTGGACTGTACCTTCTCTTTCTCAAGAGAATTAATGAGATCAGTCCTTGAGCTCTAAAAGAGTAGATGTTAAAATAATTCAAGAGTGCATTTCGAAGAATTGAACGTACACAGAGGACCTATGCTTGACCTAGAAAGAAAGATGGAGAAGGAAACATGGGCATTTTTTTTTTATTTCCTATGGCCTTGCACTTCCTACACCTGAAAATGCCAGGTGAGCTTTTATCTTTGAGTGAAATGAGTGACCTTGCTTATCTTCTTTCAAGCTTTGCTCTGAGCACTTCATCTCTTGGAATTTAAAGGCAGTATAATAGTCACCTAAAGTTCAGGCCAATGCTGTGACTTATCCCCTTGAATAAGAGTTTTCTCCACACAAAAAATATACTTCTGAATTTGCCTTAAAAAGGAAAAATAACCCATTCAATGGTTTAGGAGACCTTAGGAAATCAGAACCTTTCCCTTGGAGATGGAGACATTGCAATGCTAAAAAGCTGAACTTTCACTGAAGTGAAGTAGAGAATTATAGATGAAGTAATAACTTACATGTCTCAGGATCTTTCTAAAACACTGTGCTACCTTTAAAGACCCGTAACTTTAGTGGCAAACCATTCTTTCTGTTATTAAGTATCTCTCTTTTGTTTTTTCTCTTTCCCCCTCTTGGCCAGGCCCATTGATACTCCAATCAGCACAGCCTCGTAATCCCAAAGTCGCCTAGCTGGAAAAAGTTGACATTGGCTAAAACCTAGGATTTAGTTATAAAAGATAGAGAGCCAAAACCGGTTTGGCTCAGTGGATAGAGTGTCGGCCTGTGGACTGAAAGGTCCCGGGTTCGATTCCGGTCAAGGGCATGTACCTGGGTTGCGGGCACATCCCCAGTAGATGTGCAGGAGGCAGCTGGTCGATGTTTCTCTCTCATCGATGTTTCTGACTCTCTATCTCTCTCCCTTCCTCTCTGTAAAAAAATCAATAAAATATTTTTTAAAAAGATAGAGAAATGGTTTTAAGCATTGGAAAAATCTCACACTAATTATTTTCTCAGTATTCCTGGGACATGTTGACAAAAAAAAAATGAATGTGGTGAGTGCCAAAGCAGGGATGTTACATGACAAAGTGAAGGCTATGTTTATGTTTGTGTGCAAAAAAGAAAACCCCAAACAACTCAGCACATGTTTCTAGAGAGATTGGTGTTTTGGACTTATTTGTTTTTACAATCATTTTCTTAAATATCTGGAGACGCATTATGTAGTTAATAAGTAATCAATAAAAAGTTTGAATTCGTTTAAAAATGTGTGTAGTAACCAATAGCCATGGAACACCTGCAAGCCAGGCGTAGTTTCATCTCAGTGTTTACAACATCCTACTTCATTTAGTCCCCATGACCATGAGACAGGTACTATTGTTAGCCCCACCTAACTGAAGAGGAAAAAGAGGCAGAAGGGGGGTGAGTATCTTGTTTATTATAAACTGAATTCCCCAAAATTATATGTTGAGGCCCTGTCCCCAATGTGCCTGCATTTTCAGATAGGGCCTTTATGGGGTCATTAAGGGAGGTCATAGGGTGTCACCCTAACCCACAGGGCTGGTGCCCTTATAAGAAGAGGCAGACACCAGAGCTCTCTGTCTCATGTGAGAACACAGAAAGCACCTGGAAGTCTGCAAGCCAGGAAGAAAGTTCTCACCAGAAACCAACCCTGCCAATCTTGATCTTGGACTTCTCTCTTCCAGAACAGTGAGAAATTGTTGTTGTTTAAGGAACCATCTGTGGTATTCTGTTTTGCCAGCCCAAGCTAACATATTGCCCAAGGCAGGTCAGGAGAAACACTGGGAATCAAGCCCAAGCACTCAGACTCCACTCTTTACTCTTAAACCACTTCACAGTATGCCTTTGGAGAGTTTATCCCTGGACAGGGAGTAATAAGATCTCCAGTTTAGACTCTAGTTCAACTTTCAGTAGAGGCTCTGCTTTCATTATGTACAGCTAGGATTCCTGAGCATTTAACTTCTCTTTGCCTCCATCTGTAAAGTGGGGGGAAAGTAACCTCTACCAGTAAAGACCAAATGAGACGATAATATGCAAATACTTTGCAAACTGTAAATCACAAAATAAGTTGCACTGCCTTAAAAAGGATAATGGTCTCAAACCTATTTGTCTGAATATAGAATCATTTCTGAAAGGCCAACCCACAGGATCTCTGGTATTTCCAGCTAAATGTTTAAGGAAAAGCCAGGTTGAAATAGAGGGAGGGGGGAAGAGGATTCAGAAGAGGGAATGTGTACTTAAAGGAGACATAATACTATCCTCTCTTACTTCCTCAATCTTGATGTTTCATCTTAGTGTCTTTGTAATACAGTGCTGGTAGAAAACATGAAACCATTTATTACAGATTCAATTATATGTATTTAATGGAATTAATAAGTGAAATTAAATAAGTATTTAACACCCCCAGCTGCAGCCATGTGCTAGGTGCTGTGAGGAATGAAAAGTAAGCCATGGTTATTGTGTTCAAAAGCTTATAAACTAATAGAAGAAAAAGCTATAAAAAGAAATGTGGCATAGAAAACAACTCTGATTTTGAGTCAGGAGACAGGTTCAAGTTCTTTGTCCACCTATTCCATTTACATGGACTATTTCTCATGTGTTCCTCTCCACCATCTCTTTGAACTCTTAATATCTGTTGGAGCTCAGGAAAGTCTATCCATGAAACTTTCCTAGGTAGTACTTAGAACAGTTGGAATTTTTACATGTATTTGTGTAGTGATCTCCATGACGTCAAAAACCCTGATTTTTCTCATTGTTATACCTCTGTCCCTGGCCATGAGCTACCACTGTGGCTGGCACACAATCTATGCTCATCAAATTTATGAAGGAGGGAGAAAGAGAGGTAGGGAGGCACCTGGCTGACATTTACTATTTGTCAAAGTTTCTTGTTCATCTGTAAAATAGAGATGATAATGCCCATTTCCCAAGGTTAGTATAAGAATTAAATAAAATAATCAATGAAATGCTATTTTATAAGATGTAAAGTGAATGCCATTTTAATATAAAGTAGACTGCTAAAAGCATTATAGCAGTCAAAGATAAAAATACAGAACTAAAAGCAAATGAAATTCCCTCCAGAACTGGGGCAGAGAATGGATCAACAAAGACTTAATAGAGAAGGTAGTATATGGCAGATGAATGAATAGGGTTGAATAAGTAGAGATAGAATACCTACTTTCTACATTTACTCTACAGAGAATATATGTGTATGAGTGTGTGCATGTATGTGCAGATGTATGTGTGCTTGAGTTGACTCCTCACCAGAATGTCACTCTGTAAGGACAGGTATTTCTGTCTGTTTTGTTCATAGCTGTATTCCCAATGCTTATAAAAATGTCTGAGATATGATTAGAGATCAATGAATATTTATTGAATAAATAAATAAGAATGAACAAATAGAGGAGATAGGGAATATAAGATAAAATGTTATGAGTGAAAGTATAGACAAAACATAGAAAATGGTGTTGATGTGGGAAGCCCGGGCTTGGAGACACCAGGTTGCAGAGGAGGAGAGTGGAGAGGAGCTAAGAGATCCAGGAAACATGACTACAAATCCTTGTGGCTGGTGAATAGCCTGGTGGGCTTGTGGACTTTAGATCACATTTGCACTGATGATTCACAGAATTTCTGACTTGGCAAACAAAAGCCCTCTAGCACTGGCAACTTTAGGTGAAATGGTAGGAAAAATGCTCCTATTATTATAACATTGAAACTAAATTCCTTTGGTCAGGCCTAATAACCAATCATCACTAAGTCCTTCTCTGCACAACATGAGTCTTTGACAACATGTGACATACAATGACAGTGAAGGGAAAAATGTGTTTGTTATTATAATAAAGATGAAAACTATGGAAATCATAGGAGCATCAGAATTCAAAATGCCAGTGAATATAAATCATGTTATTTGCATAGAAATATGACATTGCTAGAGATATTGGTTAAAATTCAAAAGTAGATGAATAATGAATAAAATGTCACTTTTAAAATTATAAAATAAAAGTGTAATTGCTCTTATCTTTTGGAAAAATCTCACTCATAAAGGCACTTAATATGAGAAGGGGAACTGGAAATAAACAGAGTGCTAAAGACTTTCAGTCAGTGCATTATGACTTTGTTTTAAATGTTAAGAAATTGCTACCTAATCAGCATCTGTGATAATGATCTGTAATCTTACCAGTGTGAGATTGATGATAAGTATCAAGACCTGATTTTTAATAATATAAATAACAGATATACAACATATTTTCAAGTCATCTAGTCCTCAATGGTAAGTCTTTATAGTCCAATGATTGTACTACAATTCAAATAAAATATCCTTATGTGTCATTTTAATGCAAATAACCTAGCAGCAGACTTTTAAGCTATTGGTGCCCAATGCTTATTTTTATCTAAAGCTCAGGAATAATTAAGTTCTTGCCTAATTACATAAAGTCTAATTTAGAATCTCATTTATTTAGAGAGACTCAAATCCATTTTAAGTGACACACAAATGCAGGTAATTAAAAATTAAAATAAATTAAGATGAAAAAGGCAAGATTGAAGCTGGTTTTCGCTGTTCTGATTATTTGAGAAAGGCCGTGAAAGGGTAGAGGGGCTTAGTAGACTTGCAAAGGGGCTAAGAAAGAGTCAGGAAGATAGAATGCAGCTCTCTGAGGCATCAATGACTTTTTTAATCTTTCTGGTCTAGGTCCAGTTGCAAAGCTGATAACATGCAACTAAGCGAGATGACTTGATTGGATATCAATTGGAGTTGGGGATTCTCAGTCACAGGAAACCTTCTCCATGTCTCCTGTCCTAGGAGAGAATGCCAGTTCTCCTGGCTAGTTAGGGGAGGACACAGCATCCAATGAGCAGGGCCAGTATATATGGGTGTGCCTAGTCTACAACAAGCTCTTTGGTACAGCAGGCTCATGGAGTTGCTTGAGCAGTAATACACACACACACACACACACACACACACACACTAGAACCTTTTGAGCTCAGCATGTCAGCATTTTGAAAAACCTTAACTTAACTCTGGTGCCATGTCACATATAGAAGTTATTTATTTTATATATTTAAATGCCATTTAACAAAGAAAAATCAACCAAAAAAATGAGTTCGTGTGT